TCTGGGAGTTGAAGTCCACTCATCTTAAAGTGGCCAAGTTTGGACAACACTGCCTTATGAGATCTAGGTGGTGGCAACTTAACACCTGTTGCTTCTGGTCCTAGTTGACGTGGCCGTAAAGCTTCATTTTTTTTTCCTGCAGAAGCCTGAGCGAACACACCCAATCCAAAGTGGGAACCATAGCTTTTCATTCCAGGTAGGTAGTTTTGCTCCTTACGATTCCTAACTGAAACCTCAGCAGGTCTTGGCTGTGCTTGAAACGGGCAATGTGCGCACCCCACCCCTCCAGGGGGTTGAACTGCAACCATTTCCTAAAAGAGGAACGTGAAATCAGCTTTAAATTTTTCCCTGCCCTGTTTGCACAAGGCTGGTACTGGCTTGGATGCTGAAAAACAAAGTCAGCTGTGGGCTGCAAAAGGATTCTCTGACTTGGTTGTCTTTTAAATCATCTTCCTGCGCTTTGCCATTTGGCCCTGCCCATATGATTTGATGGATTCCCACTTCTTTTTGCCTTTGATTTTGCTATAATTCTTGGATTGTAGTGTGATGATTGGATTTTTTTTCCTTTTACTGTGCAGAGCGGAGAACACCTGTCCCTTTTGGTGTTTCTTGCTCAGCAGAAATCTTTGTTTTATCAGATGCAGGAGGATCCAATGACCTTTTATCTGCTTTGTGTTGCAATGCTTATATTATATAGGAATTTTATGGGTCGTGTTCATTTGCCTTTCTGGCTGTTGCTAAACACTAGAAGGGCAAGACATGAATGTTCAATTGAACAAGACACTCAGTGAACATATGCACATGTTTTCAATCGTGTCTGCCACTCCTTATAAGAATTTCATCATGAAATGGAGATCAGCGACGCTACCCGGGCACACCTAGCCTTTTATAGTTCTCATTCTGCTGTAGAAGTGGAATGGAGACCGCCCTTGCAATAAGTGAAATATTTTAGAGGTGAATAAAAAATGCCATTCTGTGGATTTATTTTCTATACTGCTGTACGCTGCCCAGAGTCCTCTGAGTTTGGGGCAGATGATAAACATAGTAAGTAAAATATCTTAACTTAGGGACTGTGAAAACACTGGTCAAAGTCATCTGTTCTTTCTCCGTGTGTTTTTTAGTTCAGCATCAGTTCGGAGAAACAAGAAGGAATTTATAGCCTCTATTTCTACAAATGCCTGCTAGGAAAACTGCTGAATGAACAAGTCCCCTTTAGCCTGGACGTAAGTTGGTTCTCTCATCTTTTCCTTCTAAGGATCAGCAACCCAGGTACCCATGGGTGTTTTGTTACCCCCTGATGAACCCCCTAATCAAAAATTAATTCAGTTTTTAACACCATGGCTGGAATCTTCATCGGTTGCCCAACCTTGTGAGGACTCCATCCTTTGGAGTCATTTCTTTTGACATCTATCAAAGTTGAAGTGGCACCTAAAAACCATGCCAGCTCCTTTGCTAAGCTCCGAGAAGCAATTTGTTTGCAGATCCTTCAGTGGGAATATTTTGGGCAGAAGACCTTGAACGTTTGCAGGAATGTGAACAAAAATACATAAGTCCCCACTTATTCCAAGTGCAATGAAGGCTGAACTGGCCATAGGTGGGATTGCAGGAGGGGTGGGTGGAAGACCAGCTCGCAAACTGTTCCAAACCAGTTTCAAGTACACAACAAATTACAAAGGTGGCAATAAGTGAAGGTATGTTAAAAGTGCATACCAGTGAACTTTGTAGAGATGGAGAGTATTAAATTTCTCCAAGTTTTATACAGGTAGTTCCCGGGTTAGGAATGCCCAGTTTATGGACAACCCATAGTTAAGAACAGAGCCTATTGTAGCAAAATTCAAGTTAAATACACAATGATTTGAGTTAAATACACAATGATTCAAGTTCATTACACAAAACTATTTATACAGTACAGTATTATACAATAATACTGTTCCGGCTTACATACAAATTTGACTTAAGGACAGACCTTGGGAATGGAATTGGTTCTTAAACTGGGGACTACTTTACTAAAAGTGGGGTTAACAACAAATAAATGGAGAAGAATAATCTACATACAAATAACTGAGGAAGGTATAATGGGCTTTTTTTCAGATTTCTACTTGGTTCATTAAAGATGAGAGTTTCGAGTTGAAACATGACTGGCCAAGAACATCTGTCTTGGCAAAAATTTGTTTGCAGTGATTTGTAGGTAGATTTCTCTCCTCCAGGTCTTTGTTATATTTTAGTGATTTTTGTGGTGAGGCATTTGTTAATTGTAATAAATCAGTGTGTGCAGTTTGCTAATTGGTTAGAATTAAATCATGATCACTTGTTTTGGGCTCTGCCTGAAGTTAGTGAGCTGAAAAAGCAAATAAAGCCAGCTTGGCATTCTCTGTCAGTTAATTTAGTTTGCTAGATTAGTCAAAACAGCCTCAGCGCCAACTTTCATTATGTCACAGCTAGAAAGATATTGGGGCTGTGTGGGTGATACCTGGTGAATTCTCACAAGCCAGAGGAACTGCTTTTGAAAAATGTAGTTTTCTGGTACAGGTAGTCCTTGACTTATGACTACAGTTGGGACCAGAACTTCTGTCATTAAGTAATGCAGTAGTTAAGTGAGTTGTGCCCAATTTTACGACCTTTTTGCTATGGTCGTTAAGTGAATCACCAAGGCCGTTAACCAAATCCACCTTCCTCCATTGACATTGCTTGTTGGAAGCCCCTCGAGAAGGTCGCAAATGGTGATCACATGACCATAGGGATGCAAGGACCAGTCACAAGTCACTTTTTTCAGCACCATCATAACTTTGAATGGTCATTAAACAAATGGGCATAAGTCAAGGACTACATATAGTCAAAAAATAAAGACTAAATCTTTTATGCTTAAGGTCCTCACCTGTCTATGCGGCAAGCATCATCAGTGGAAATACAATGTTGAGAACATGGGAAATGATAGTTCTGCTCTGTGCTGCACTGGTCAGACCACACTTGGAATGCTCTGCCCAGTTCTGATGGCCACACTACAAGAAGAATGCTGAGGAGTTGGAAAAGTGCAGAGAGGAGCAATAAAGATCGTGAAAAGCTTAGAGGGTAAATTCTATGAAGAACGGTTAAAAGAACTGGGTTCATTTAGCCTAAAGAAGAGAAGGCTAAGGGGAGACAGGAGAGCAGTCTTGCAATACTTGAAGGGCTGCCATAGGGAAGAGGGTGTGGACTTGTTCTCTGCAGCTCCCAAGAGTAGAACAAGGACCAGTGAGTGGAAACATTACAGAGGGAGATCCAGAGTCAAAATAAGGAGGAATTTCCTGACCGGGAGAGAGATTAAAGAGCAGACCGGCCTCCTAGAGTCATGGGGGCTCCATCATTGGAGGGTTTCAAGCAGAGGTTGGACAGCCATTGGTCTGGGATGGTAGGAAGGTATCTGCCCTGGGCAGGGGTGGACTAGAAGACCTTCAAAGTCCCTCCAATTCTATGATTCTGTGACATTTCTAGAGCAAGTCCCATTTCATGATTGCCAACCTGAGTTACTTGATACAAAATTCTAACTTCCTTGATACCAACAAGTATGCACTGCTTTGTGGTACAGCTGTATGTATATTTTCCATATTGCGCATTAAAAAAAACTTAATCTGGTCTTCCTGCCATGGGACCGTCAGCTACTAACAATGAAAAACAGAAGCATTAAATAATATAATTTAAGTAGCAATCCAAACACAGAGGACCAGCTTGCAGATGGTTGAATCCTGAACCATGCAACCTCCGTCAGCATCGTTGAAGACTTTGTGGAATAACATGGCTGCTTTAATCCCCTGCAAGCTGAAGCCATTGTTTTTCTCTTCTCTCTCAAACTCCAAAAATTGCAAAAAGAAAAAAAGAAAAAAAAAGAATCCCAAATGTTGATCCTGCACATTTTGGGGAAGTTTCAAGGGCTGTGAAAGGAATATTTCTGCACTGTGCAGTTTTCCAGTTTACCAGCTATTGCTCAGTGAATGTCTTTTCATTCATATTTTCTTGAAAAAGGAATATGGAGATTACAGCTCTCTGCTCAGGGAAGGGTGTTTTTCTGCTCTTGAAGGAACGTATCTGGCTTTGAAAAGTCCCCCAGGGTTCCCACCCTCAGCATAACAGGTGCATTATGTCCTCGCCTTTTGCTGGATCTTCCAAACCGGCATCCTTTGTTGTAACCCCTGTTCTGCTTCCAGATATCCATCACGGAGCGGAATCCAAACAGCTACCTCTCAGCTGGAGAAATCCCACTTCCCAAGCTGTACATTTCCATGGCATTTTTCTTCTTCGTCTCTGGGGTCGTGTGGATCCACACGCTTCGGAAGCGCAGGTAAATGGGTGAACCAGTAAATCTTGTACTTAAATCTTCTGCTCTTATTCCTAGAATTTCTAGAGAGAGAACTCTAGGAATAACAGCAGAAGATTTAAGCACAACCTGGCCAGAATCTAACAGCCTTAAATTATATTTAAAACCCCCAGGGGATAAATCTTCCATCTCTTTTTGCTGCTGTTGCATAATAGCGAATGTCTTGCCATTTGTTCCCCAGCCTCAGATGTGGAATAAGTTGGCTCGGTTGTTCTTAAACTTGATAAGCTGTTTAACATTCTGAATAAACATTCTGTCTAAAATTAGAACAACAGGGGCTGTGACTTTAACAAAAGTCTGCCTTTATCTTATACCTTGTGCATAAATGATTAAACAGGTTTAAAAAAAAACAAAACCCCAAATGTGTTTATTGACTTTCACTTGTCAATTTTGTGTTACAGGGCTGATGTTTTTAAGATCCATTGGCTGATGGCTTCTCTTCCTTTCACCAAATCCCTTTCTTTAGTCTTCCATGCGGTAAGTTATCTCTTGATTCATTTGCTTCTGGGCTGCAAGGAGAAAGAGTTTGACCATCACAGAGGTCAAGGCAAACAGACGGGTATCAGAATTTAGAAGCTCTTTCCTAGCCAGATGAGACCATTCTTCTACTCTGCAACCGAAAAGGGAGAACTTTAATCTGATGCGGTGGGTCCAGCCCCCTGGTAACTTTGCTACTGCAACTCTCAAAGCCAGTTATTTCTTGTGGCTGAGAATTCTGGGAATGGATCTCCAGGATATCTAGAGGCACCAGGCTGAGGACACCTGGCTAGAAGTTTCAGGAATAATTCACTGAAGGAAGAATGTTCCTCCTCGCTTACAGTTAAACAAGCATCTGCAGAGCAGACTTCTCCAATCAGGTGCCCTCCAGATGGGTGCCCTTTAACTCCCAGAATCCTCAGCATTGGCCATAATGGTTACAGAATTCTAGGGGTTGATGTCCGTCCATCAGGAGTGTCTGTCTGGCTCCAGTAGAGGTACAGGTGGCCCCCAGGTGACACCCTCCTATTTGTCAAGGCAGATGTAATGGAACAAAGGGGGTGGGGGTGATGTGAGGGACTGCAGTAGCGCAGCAGGTTCTCAGGAAGGAGGGAGCACATTCCAGGAATGGGGGAGAGACAAGAGACAATACAGTCCAGAGCAGGAGCGTGGGAAGAGGAAGAGATTTACGACAGTCACTCCCTAGAATCTCCCAGGGTGTATCTACTAGGTTAGAGTAGTACAGATTTAGTCTGGCAAGATTCTGTCTTTATGGTGTAAGCATTAAAAGAACTGAACTAGGTTGGACTGTTTCCCTGTTTTTCTTGGGCTGGGCCTGACAGCAAGTTGCTTCTTAGTTTCTTTAACTGGAACCCATTTCAGTTGCTTTATTTAGTAGCAACACGTTTTACACTAAAACCTTGACTCTCCAGACTTCCATTGTGCAGACTTTGGATGCAAGAAACAACATTTTACTTTGGAATTCATCCCCCCAAACAATGGACAATATTTCTGAAGCAGTCTGGACAATCGACATCATTTGTAAAATTACATACTTGACATTTTTATATCTTTTGGGTCAGCTTACATAAATGATGCTAACTGCATACATTTGGATTTAGCAGACATTTAGATTTAATGGACATTTGGATTTAACGGACACCCCTTTTTCCACAAATCGTCCACTAAATCAAAGCTTATTGGATTTTATTTACATTTTGTTACTTTGTTTCTGCTTTTTAGAATCTATTAGAATGGAAGGCTATTTTAAGAAAGCTTAACAGGAATACTTAAAAAGTTTAGTAGCTGAATACCAAGCTTTGCACTGACTGCTGCTGCTTTTTTTCTCCAGATCGATTACCACTATATCTCCACACAGGGCTATCCCATTGAGGGCTGGGCTGTTGTCTATTATATCACACACCTGTAAGTCTCTAGACTGTGGCTGTAAATTTATACCTATCTAGTAGGGGTTAGTGGCAACCATGACATCTGAGACAGCATTGGCAGGACAACCCCATCTCTCCAGTTAAATAAAAGCTTGCGTTTTTAAAATGCTTTGCTCTTGCATGAGATTCCAGCATCAAGATTGCCAAAATCTTACGACGCTATGGTCAGTTGGAAAGGCAGCCCTTGACAAGGTTGTGGACATCTGTTGTGAAGTTGTTTCGTTCATTAGACTGGGACTTCTGCTTTCATTCAGGACCCCTAGGCAGAATACATAGCTCTCTCTTCTCCTGGGTCTTTCACAACAAGCCTTGAAGGTAGGCTGGGCCAAGAGAGAAAGAGCGACTGGTCCAAAGTGACCCAGGGAACTTCTCCGGCAGATGTTGAACTTCTACCTGGTTTTCCTCATTTCTAGTCCAACGTGGACTTTTTTATAAACCAGGAGTTCAGAAGCGCTCTGCGCAAAGCATCGAGCCATCGTTCCTGCCCCAGAGCAGTATGTAAGATTTCTTTAAAGTATTTTTTTATTTTGCTTTCGAGCTGTATTCTCTGCCCCTTGGAGATGATTGTCACTCAGGAATTACCAATTCTGGTGCTAAAACCTTTGAAGCATTTTCATGTTATTACTGCTTTGAATTGCGTAACTATGTCTGCGCTGTGTGTGTGTTTTTAACCAGATTAAAAGGCGCTCTGCTGTTCATCACCATTGCTCTCATTGGCACAGGCTGGGCCTTTATTAAACATATCCTCTCCGATAAGGACAAGAAGATTTTCATGATCGTAATCCCATTGCAGGTGAGGTGGGCCAGCTTTCTGCAGGAAATGTGTTCTTCCTCTGCCAGGTTTGCTTAACTTAAAATTACTCTCCCAATTCATGCACGGCTTTTGTTCCAGGACATCATTCTCTTCTGCAACTCTGAATGTGCAGAATGCAGCAACCCCTTAATGTATTGCAACTGGGAAGGCCCAAAACATTTCAAAACTGAACCACTTCAAACTGTTGCGTTTTGAGCTCTACCCCCTTGCTTTGAATGCAAAACAGCCCTTTGGATCGTTCTGGAAATGTGCTAAAGTCAAATCAGAGCACTTCAAACTCAGAGCAGGGCTGTTCTGCCCACAAAACCCTTCTGGAAAGGTTCGAGTAGGCCATCTCAGGGCAAAACACTTGTATTGTGCTCCAACAGTTCTTTTAACACAGGCCATTTTGAAGTTGATTCAGTTCAAATTCAAAATATCTGGGAGTCCCTGATTGCCATAATCCATAATAGTGGGTGGGTGTTAGACAAAGCATATCCATGGAGGATTTTATCAAGAGATAGCACTGGGATAAAGTGGTTTCTGGTCTGTACCCTCCCTAGTTTCTTGGGTGGTAAAGGAGACCGGGGCGGGGGGGATTTCAGACTTGCAAGATTGATGTCAGGTAGACCAGATAGGAAACACAACCAGATGAGCTAATTCTACTTTATTGTAGAATAAAGTGTGACATTGACAGAATCTTGCAAGTGTGAAAGTACAATTATCCCACTGTTTCCTTTATAGCCCAAGAAACTAGGGAGGGTCCCTTCTGAGCCTTTTTCTCTTCCCGTTATGCAGCTGAGGGCTAAGCTCTCTCTTATCTAACTGTTTCCTAGGCAGCAGCTCTTCACCCCATCTCCCAAGGTCTTTTCCACATACCATGTGCAGAATGTCAAATTCTTGCTGTTTCCCTTTCTCAGGTCTTGGCAAATGTTGCTTATATCATCATTGAATCTACAGAAGAAGGCACGACAGAATACGGGCTGTGGAAGGAGATTCTTTTCTTGGTAGATCTGCTCTGCTGCGGAGCCATCCTGTTCCCCGTTGTATGGTGAGTTTTGCAAGAATGAGGGCCATTGTTGGTGGGGATATGCAAACTTCCTAAAACAAGGTTTCTTATGGGTGTGGATGGAGGGCAGGACACGGGGTTCTAACTCCCTTCAGGGGCAGCTCTACTGGCCCTCTCTAATGGAAGGAGCTGTATTACAAAGCCAAAAGAGAAAAGCAACTTGGCTTTGTTGACCCAGCCTCCAGAGATCAGGTTTCAGCTGCTTGGCTGTGCTTGCTGGGGATGATGGTTGTAGTAATCTGGCTGACTGACAGGTGCTTCTTGGGAAAGGATGGCCCCCTCATCTTTCCAAACTTCATTCTTGATGGCATCTGCAACTTTCATTGTTCAGGAGGAAGCCACTGGGGTTCTCTCCTTCTCCTCTGCCTCCACACAAGATAGATTTTCTGTAAAACTAGAGAAGTCCCCCACCCCCAGAAGAGAGTGTGGAAGTTGTGTAACACCTTGTACATGGGGCATGCCGTAATATAACTCTGAGAGCTTAAGGGAAGGTTAACTGTGTATATCATTCTGATAAATGCCATATGTCTCTTCCTGCAACACCACTGAGTGCTAGAATAAAAGTGCTCCATAACTTCAATTCTTGGTGGAGGGTTTGAACCCCACAGAATAACATGTGGTCACCTACATCTGAATCCTCTATCTTCCCATCTTGATTGAGAAAGGGGGAGGTCCTCTGATCTCCACAAGCTTCAACAAGAGCTATAATGATTTGGGAGCCATTGTGATAGGTCTTCCCTGCCGAGGCAAATAGACTGGTTACTTTGAAGTATCTACTTTGAAGTATCTACTTTGAAGTATCTCATGTTCTGATGAACACGAATATCAGAACATCAGAACATATTCTGATGAACAGGTTGATGAAAGTATCTACTTTGAAGTATCTCATGTTCTAATGAACATGGACATCAGAACATGTTCTGATGATCATGAACATGAAAGTATCTACTTTGAAGTATCATGTTCTGATGAACTCTAGAGCATGTATTGACAAATGGCCAGCCCTCCCCTCCATATATCATAAGAGAGAGAACAACAAACCAGATTAAACCCCAAAGATCTGGAGGCCTTCTAGGCAGGTCTGTTGCATTTTTCTAGGCAAGAGCTGGCTTGAAGATACTGCATAGTAATCTGTCATTAATTCATTGGTCATTCTCTCTCCTAGGTCAATACGACACTTACAGGAAGCTTCTGCAACTGATGGGAAAGGCAAGTCATTGATCCCAAATTGGGCTGTTCAGGTATTCTTACTTGTGGTTTCACTAGACTTCTCCAGCCTTGGCTCCTAGCTCCACAGCCCGAGGTTCCAACCAGCTTTCTTACTGCCACTATTAACTTATGTATTTCTCCATTGGCTTTGTTAAAAAATATTGAGCTACTCCCTGTCCATGAGCTACTGTCCAGCTACTTTCAAGGCTCTGGAGAGGGTCCCTGGTCAAAGCCTTTTGCAAGAACTGAAGGATTTGAATGACTTTATTAATTTAGGCTCAAAGACTCCCCAAAAAACAGCAGGGTTATACACAATAAAATAAATAACAGAGGAAGATTGGTGATGGTAATTTGAAACTATTCAAACAGTCCCCACAGAAGGAAGGGTGAGGCCCAGAACCTCCTAACTGCAATCAAGCAGAACTTTCTGACATCCCTGGAAACCTTCAGAGGCTGGCATGAGAGTAAGAAGTGGATGAGGATTTGAATGAGAACCTGAACAGTCAAGGGTCTAAGATGTCAGTGAGATGATCTGGTTTTGTCTGGGCTGAGTGTTTTCATGGGGAGACAGTGGGGAACAAAATAGAACCTAGTCTACAGATAGATGAGAAGAGAAGTCTAACTTCCACAACACATTTTTGTATGTTGTTATGAAATCCATGCATTGATTTGTCAGTTCTTTCACCCAATCCTGTAAGGTAGATAAGAAAGGGGGGAGGCCTGTGACTTTGTAAAGAATCAGAGAATCATGGAATTAGAAGGGGCTCCGTAAGCCACAGAAACCAAATTGAAGCATCACCGATGGAGAACTGTCCAGCCTCTGCTGAAGGGAAGGTGATCACCTTTCTGGCTTATAGGTTCCTTTGTTGAATTGCCTTTTCTGTTGGAAAGCCTCCTGCATCTTTCCAAAAGAAGCTTGGCTGGAATCCAGCCCTTCTCCTTAGCGTGGGGGCAAAACTGAAAACCAGAAGTGAATACATACCTGTTTTCCCTCCCTACACCCTATATTGATGTCCAAACTGGAAACCTGTCTACTTTTCAAAAGCCTGGTTTTGTTTTCTGTTGTACTATTGGGTGACATTGGAGTCCTGGACAAGTCCCTTATCACTCAGTCAAGGCTCTTCTTTCTGTTTATTTCAAGTCTGGTTCTCTTCTATCTGCTGAGTCAGTGCCTTTTTCGGGAACAAAGAAAGAATCAGGAAGACCTTGTTGAGAGATGCAGTTCCTGGAGGTGCTACTGAATAAATTCAGCAATTAGTCAGATGCTGAGGGTTCTGGAAACAGTGATGGATAATTGAAAGGGACTTGGCATATGCTTTTCCTGGAAAAGTCTAGTAGGGAGATTTTGCTGGTCAGTGACCATAATAAAGATTATCTCTCTAGTGAGGAGGTAAGCTGGGCGTTTTCAGATCTGGAAAGCTGTCCTGTTGAAGGAGAAGGCAACTTGTGTTTGGCCTGAAGAGTTAAAGCAAGAACCAATGGTCCAAACTCCCAAATCATCTAAGTATTATAAAATAACACCCATATTTTCTGATTGTTGGCTGCATTTAGCTAAGCATATGGGACTTATAGTCTCCAGTATCTCACAAAACATCAGGTTGCCTACCTCATTCTTAGCTTTGATGAAATCTCCATGTTTAAGAGCAGGATGTGCTTCCTAGAAGCATCTGGGTGACCACTACTGGATAAACAGTAACCAGAGTAGATTGGTCCAGTTTTTTGAACTTGGCTGCCCTCTAATTTTGATGGATTTGTGAACTTTGACTCATGAGAAGTTCTCCTGGGTATTATGAGTTTTGGAGGGCACCAGTTTGGGGAAAGGTTGCTACTCTGGGCTAGCAAAGCACAATTGAGTAGTTTGTAGCTAGCCAAGGAAGAAAACCTGGGGTCATAGAGTGAAGATGTCAGCTTGGTTTGTGGCAACTGTGGAAAAGCAAAAATGCCACTGCTGTAATTCCATTCTACAAATCTGTGGTATATCTGTATCTGGGTGTGCCTCAACATTTGAAAAAGAAGACAATAAGGCTGGAAGTAGTACAAAAGAGGATAACCAGAACAGTTAGGGTTCTCAACCTCCTTCGCTATGAAGAAAGGCTAGAATTTGAGACTCTTAGCTTAGAACAAAGGTAATTGAGTGAGGACATGGTTGAGGGGTATAAAATTAGGCATCGCCTAGGGAAAAAATGGACAAGGAGAATGTTTTCTCCTTTTCTTCCAACACTTGGACCAGGAGTCATCCAATGAAGCTGACTGGAAAGAGATTTAGATCAGACTTCTTCACACAGCACCAAATCAACCTGTGGAGTTCCTTTTCTCAAGATGCGGTGATGCCCATGAACTTGGATGGCTTTCGAGAGGGATGGGCTCAATTCGTAGAGGATGGGTCTATTGAGGGCTCCTGGTCTTGAAGATCGCATGTTAACTCTCGGTTGGGAGCAGCCTTCCTCCAAATCCCAGTTACAGAAGACCAACGGTGGAAGAGGAGAAGGTCTCCACCTTCTGTTTTAGAGCCCCACAAAGCATCTTGTTGGCCATGGTGGAAAACAAAACAAGCCTTAACCTGATCCAGCAGGGCTGTTCTTACTTTCTTGAGCGGGTGACCCCTAAATGTTTTTCAGTTCAGTAACTATTATCTACACCCCTTGATTGTCCTTCTTACACCTTCCCTTTTATGTGCAGGGTGTAAAGTGCACCCTGGGCTTGGAAGGAAGCCTTAATAAATGGAGCCCTGGCCCCACCATTTTGGATCAGCCCCTTGGGCCTCATCTTGTGACTCTGCTTTCCTGCCTGGCTCCCGTTTTCTAAGCATCTGCTTAGAAAATCCACAAAGCCTGAACACAATTGTAACTGAAACCTGATTAGGCCAAGCAGCAGTTCTGTGCGCTCCTCTCGCATTCCCAGCTCCGTGGGCGGCTGGTTAAAAGCTGTGCTCAGCCCAGCACATCTTGAAGCCAGCGTGGTGGTTGAACAATGTATGGCTTCCGTTTTTAATGCTCCCCGTTGCGGGGTGGGTATGGATGTATAAGGCTGGTTTCCCGAAGTGGCCTGTTCTCAGGGGCCAGCTTTGGCAAGCGTATCGCATGAATGTCTGGGGGAAAATCAGTGCAACTTTGTGAGTGTGGCAGGGGGAAGTTCATTAAACATCACCCTGGGAGTCTCTTCCCCCATCCTGCAGTCTGAAAATGACTCTGCCTTAGAGGTAACTATAAAACAGCTCTTCAGATGAGGCTCCGAAGATGCTCACTTGGCTACTTTGCAATCATCATTCTTGGATTATGGAAGCCAGGGGAGGCCGTTTGATTTGCTTCGCTTCTGAGAAACTGCCTCCCTCTCTTGAAATCCCAGCTTGGTTGGAACCACTTAGGCCTGTCTTTCGGGGACATCTGGAAATCCAACAGTTGGGTTTCCTGCAAACTTTGCTTGGAGGCGACAGCTTCTGAAAAACACCATCTCCATTTGGCCTTGAGAAAAATGCTTCGATCTCCTTTTCCTTCCCTGTCTTCTCTCTCTTAAAGGCATTTGGTCCAGTGGCCATTGTTCCTTCCTGCATTAGGCAGTTGTCTCCTTGTCTCCCCCCCACCCAAAGGAGAGAAGGAGTCACTTCCCAACCTTGGGGCTCAGCTCCAAAAGCTGCAAGGCTGGGGGGCAACTGTGATTTCCAAGAGCTTGAATTCAGGCAGGTTTTTCTGGATCACATCGGTCAGATCCTGGTTTCTTACACTAGCCAGGCACCAGAGGCTGCTGGGAGCCGGGGAGGCAGTGTGACCCAATGGGTACAAGGAGACCTGGGTTCAGTCCACCTTAGCTGTGGAAGGAGGTTATCTCTCTGCCCAACCTCCCTCGCAGAGCATAAATCTCTAAATAATAAATAATTTTCTAAAAAAATAAAATTAAAGTTTTAAATTAAAAATTTGAATTAAAAAATTTTAAATGAAAATTTAAATTAAATTAAAAATGTAAATTTGTTACATTAAAACTAAAAATTTAAAAAAGAAATAAAGCATAAATAACTAAAGCAAAACCAGGCAGGGCATCCAAACTAATTTTCTGCCCCCCGATACCCTGGGCTGCAGCGGCTAGCCAGCACCTTGCAGCCCCCTCCATTTGCCCATCCCCTCTTTAAATTAATTGAATCAGGGCAAAAATCGCCGAATAGGCTTTCCTCCTCCTCGGAAGGCAGGAGCAAGCCACGTGGGGCGCAGTTTCCCCCCAGGAGAATGACATCCTTCTGGGTTGCAGCTGCTGGAAGGGCTGGAGAGTTTCTGGCCCCGGCCGAGGGTTGCACCCGCTCCAGCCGTTCTTGCCAAAATGATGGCATCTGATTAACTTTTCCCAGGGTTGCACAGCTGCCGTGCCATCTGATCCAGCTGCCGCTTGTACCTCGCTGTGCGATCCTGGAAACGAGCAACTCCTTTACTGTATTGGGTTGTAGATGGCTATCGTGGTTGCGTTCTCTCTTTCCTGCATTGCATTAAAATATTGAGAGCTTTGGAGCAAAACAGAGGCCGCAAACCCTTCCCTGTCATTATTCGAGCCAGGGGTCTATTCAGCCTCCGGCAAAATTGGATGGTGCTTTGGCCAGAAACGAGCTGTAATTTCCCCAGTTGTGCCTCTCTTTTTCTCTGCTTTTCTTCTTTGGTTTTGTTTTTATGTTTGCATTTAATGCATTCTGAGCAAACCCCAAGAGACTGTGCCAGAGGGCAACGTGGGTTGTTTATGAACCCTTGCACAATTCAACTGCCGAATTTGTTTTTTTTCTCGGGGCAGGGAGGACGGATGAGAGATGAAACCAGGCTGTGCTTCAGGCTGTGTAAAACAGCCACAACAACAAAAATCCGGAGCCCAGTTCCCTTTGTCTGCGGGTTGCTTTACAGCTTATGGTTGTACATTAGCCTGCAGAACAGACACTTTGATTGAATTCGTTTAAAATATTTATTATTCAGTGAAAGGCTCCTCGGGGCAGCTTATGAAAAACGTGGCCAATAACATAAAAGAACCAGCTGGGGAAGGAGTACACAGGCCCAACGAAAGCTGCAGAAAATAATCAGGTGGGGCGATCAAACAGCCAGTGGTTGAAATTGGTCCGAACGGTGGCTGGAGGTTCCATCTGCCTTGTGCCGTAACGCAAAGCTGGGGCTCGGTTTGGAAAAAACAAGCTGTGCTTTTGGGGGATGGAGATGGTTGAGTTTTGGGGCAGCTCTGGAAAAGTTTTGCCCAGGCACTTGTCTCGGTAAGTCAGTGATAAGAGGGCCAGTTTGGCAGGGAATTGGGATAGACCCCAGCTGGAGGTGCTAAGTGCTGGTCAGGAAAAATGCAGGGGTGGGGTGGGGAGCAGATGGGATATGGGGCGTGTTCCCCTTATCCCCAACTTTGTTCTAGTCAGAGTAAGTGGGAGCCAGCCTGCCTGCCTGCCTGCCTTCTCCCTGTTTCCTCCCTCCCTCCCTCCCTCCTTCCTTTTTTCCTGTGCAGATATTAGCCTGGAGATTATTTGGTGGGGGGGGGAGAGAAAATAGATATTTTTTTCCCAGCTTAGTCCCCAAGAAAGCAGAGAGAGCACAGAGGGGGAAGGTTTCAAAGATGATGGATTGGGGTGGTGAGGTTGCTGATTCCATGCCTGCCTCCTGGGAATCGCCCATGGGTGTAATCCCGCTTGATATTGGCCAGGAAGGCTGGCTGTTGTAGCCTTGGTCCCCTGGAAGAGGGAGGAGAATCAGTTCCCCTTCCTCCTCCCCCCCCCTTTTAAATCCCCCTCTCCTGTGAGACTTTGTTGGGGAGAGTCAGGCATCTGGGCAGGACCCCCTGGCCAAGCGGGAGCCGGCCCCGGGCACAAGAATCATCCGCCGTCTCCCTGTCTCCCTGCTTTATCTCATCATGACCCTTGAATCACGGGCCATTAATGTTCCCGAAATAAATCGCGGATGAAAATTGAACCCGTAGTTTTGTGAGTCATAAATGGACAGTGTGATGATCCCTCCCGACTTCTCTGCTCATCTCCCCCCTGCCATCTTCAATTTGCAGAGCAGAGAGAGGAAAATTCCCTTTCTTTAGTCAGCGCAATCTTAATTGATAAGCTGTCTGGGAAGGAGAAAAGGGAATCCTGCAGAATAATTGCCAACAAGCCACTTCCCCTCCACAGCCTTTTCCCCGCTCTGAAAGCCTTTTGTCTCAAATCACATTATCCATTTTGATTAAGAACATTCTGCCTGTCTTCCTCTCCCTTTGCCTTGTGCTTTCTCACCCAGCAGCTTGTTCGCAGCGATGGGACAGCCCTTCTCGGCAAAGGGGACTGAAGGACAAAATAGAGGTGTGGATCTCTGGATGGAGGGCAGACAGCAAGCCTTTCTTTCCTTCTTCTTTTTTTTAATATTTTTTATTAAAGAATTTTTAACGAGATAAAAACAATACACCTTTTAGAGAAGCAATAAAGAGAAAAGAAAAATAGTGAGCAGGTACGAAAGAAAATAGAAACAGAAGAGAAAAGATGATGAAGAAGCAGCTTCCGATCTTAACAGTGATTATAAATGCATTTATATTTTCTCCCCTCTCTCTCTAAGACTACATCATAATTCCCTTCTTTCTGTAGTCTACCCTTTCCAATCATCAAACCCATAAACCACAAGTTCATTTTTTTTCTTTCTTCAGCAAAAAGTCCATCAGGGGTTTCCAGTCACTAATAAATGAGGTTATTGTCCTTTCCCTAATCCGGCAAGTCAATTTTTGGCCATCTCTGCTAATTCTGTCATCTTCTCCCACCATTCCTCCATCGTGGGTATTTCGGAGTCTTTCCATTTTTGTGCATCTTCTAAGACTTTCTTTTCTTCTGAGGAAAGAACGTGATCAGAAAAATAACCCCCCGGGACTCTGTTTATCTGCTCTGCCATTCACACTGTCACAGGAGCCAGCAGCAGCTTCATTTCCCACAGTCCCCTGGGGGAATGCAGCACCGGGGATTCCAGGGGCATTGTGGGAAACTTAGAATGGCCATCTTCTGCCTCCAAGGAATTACGCCGTCGAGATGCTCAGCAGGGTGGATTTTCCCCACGGAGGCCTTTTTAGCTTAGGAACCATTTTGCAAATGAAAAGGTCTTTACTACTGAATTTGTGACTGGGAACAAGCATCCTGTCCTTGCTGTCTCCCATCAGTAAGTTGAAGTCCACATCTCTTAGAGTTGCCAAAGTTGAGAAACACTGGTCTGGTGTAAAACAAAAACCAAAAAAAGGGACAAACTTCCATGCTTTGAAATCCTTTCCCCTCATTTGTTTTACTGACTAACAGCAGCATCCTTCAGTTGGTTGATCAGTCTTCTGAAATAGCCATACAGTGCCATCTAACTCAAATCTAAATCTTACTTGATTCAACTGAACTTCAGGGAGGAGGGCATAAGATAATTTCCCCCAATTGCTGGTCCTCCAGCTGTGTTCGACTACAATCTTCATCATCCATATTAAGACTCTTATATGTGATTCACAAAGCTGGTAGCTCCTTCTAACGGTTGTCCAAATCTGCTGGACTACAATTCCTGCAAATACCCAGTGACCTAGGGCCTATGGTTTTACGACCAATACATCTAGGGTCTTCAACCTGGGGAAGGTTGGCATAACCTTTTAAGCTCCACCTGGCAAAAGAAGCCCAACCTCAAGAAGTCATTCCAGTTTCTCAACCATCACTTGCTTTGAGGATGCAATGCTGGCTGCTTCTTGACCTTGAGATATAAGAGACGCTGGCTGCATCCCATCAGCCTGCTGAGTCCTGGAGACTCCTCCACCATCACCCTTGAAACCATCCAGGTGTGGATTTCTGGGGAGGAAGAAAATTGGTGAACGTGAGACGTGGTCTGTCCTTCTAGCTCTGTGAGACGTGGGAGAGAAATCAGGATTATTTATAGCTGCACATCAAGGCCTTGAATTTCAACCCAAGAGGCCATTGTGCAAGACAACTAAGACCATCAGCACTGAGTGCAGATGTTTGAAGTTCTTGCCTCCTGATGTACCTTGGCCTCAGCTTGCTCCCGTACCTGTTTTATAACAATAATACCAATGTCCTTAAAGAGCCAGTTTGGTGCAATGGCAAAGGTGCCAGGCTAGAAATGGTGAGTTCTAGTCCTCCCTCAGCATGAAAGCCAATTGGGGGACTTTGGGTCAGTCACTCTTCCCCCCCAATTGCACCCAATGGAATAGAGACATTTTGGATGCTATGATTGCACCCTGCAAATACGGGAAGGAGCTGTTGTTCCATGAATCTGCCCTTGTAACACAGTGCAAGCGATCTCCCAAGGAATATGTGAAAAAAGAAGAAAGAAATAGGAGGAAAGAGTGCTGTGTATGCCCCCTTGGGCTCCTGAATTAAAAGTGGTCTATAAATCATCCCCATCAAGTTAGTATGATACTAATCTCGTCTCCATGGAGTATAACTGCGTATCATAGACAGAATATTGTACAGAGGTGAGCCTTGAAAAGGAGAAAAAAAAAAGTACAACCTCAAATGCAGACTGTAGTGATAAAAGTAGTAAAAATTTAGTAACCATCTCCAACCAGTCCCCCCCCCCCGCAGTATGTTGGACTATAATCCCCATTATCCCTAGCCAGATGGGATAGGTAAGAGCTGTAGTCCAGCAGGTGGCAGGGGGGAAGGATGGGCTTAGAGACTCTGGAGAACCTTGGGCACGATTTCTCTATATATGCAGCATCTTTGGTCCCGTTACCAAAGTCTGTTGTCATTTTTCCAATTGCTTCTGCCTCTAACCTTCCAATTTTGTATGCTCTTTCTTACAGCTGCCATTAACTTAGCAAAGTTGAAGCTGTTCAGACACTATTATGTCATGGTAAGGAGCTGGGGAGGGTGGTGGGTGGTGTCCCCATTTTTGAAAGATGAAGGAACAACACAGTCTCATCTTTAAATGGAAACCATCAACTCCCCCAGGGAATGTTTAAACAGTGGCATGTTTGTTAAAAACTGAAGACGTCCTGGTTCTCCAAAATTGTCCTTAGCTGGTCTAATAACAGGAGACAGTGGGGCGGAACAGCTTTCCATTTTGTCTCCCTTGGGGAATACTGACCACGTCCCAAATCAAGGAGGCACATTTTGTTTTCCTATGATATTTTGGCCACATTTCAAGGGGACGGCAGGAGAATTGTACTTTTAGACTTGCAAGATTCTGTTAATGTAGCTTTACGATAAAGTAGAATTAGCTTATCTGGTTGTATTTCCTGTCTGGTTTGCCTGGTAAGGCTGACATTAATCTTGCAAGTCTCAATGCAAGTACAAATTTCCCACTGTCTCCTTTACAGCTGGAGAAACTAGGGAGAGTCCCTTCTGAGCCTCTTGCCACTCCCACTATCCAACTGAGGGCTACGCTCCCTCTTATCTGACCGTTCCCCAGGCTGTATCTCTGGGCCCCATCTCCCAAGGTCTTTCCCACATACCTTTGCACCACCTCAGAAGGAAGGCTGGTCTGTGAACTCTGGGACGCTATGTTTGGGTAGGGTGGGAGATGATAGGAGGTCTATGCCCGTCTCTCTTCTCAACAGCTGAAATTTGGGGTGGAGCCTGACCACAGGTGGACTCAGAAGTTTTGGAACAGGCTGGTTCCAAGGTGACTTGGATTCTCTGGTGGGGACCAGACTCCATTCTCTCCTGTACTGCAGGCTTGGAGGATGTTTCCTGTTTTGGAACTAACTAACCCTTCCCTTCTCCTCCCTCCAGATCGTGTGTTACATTTACTTCACCCGAATCATTGCCATCCTCATCAAGATAGCAGTTCCATTCCAATGGAAGTGGCTTTACCAGGTACCTGCCCCTCCCTCCCTCCACGTTTCACTTGCAGGAGCCGCTAAAATGAACAAAAACATCTTTACATTCCCTAAAAGCTGCAGCTCCATCAAGCTCTGGGAGTTTGTCGCAGCGTTTCAAAACCCTTGCTGTCAAGGACGCTCGATTGTTTCCAGCAAAGTCCCTGAAATTGTATACGTGAAGAATTAAGCCACATTTCCTTGACTGATTTCTGAATCCAAAAAGGCACGATCTGCCCTTATCAAGAATGAAGGGAAGGTCAAGGAAAGTGTACGGCTCACTTTATTGCTTATGAAGCCTCTTTTTCCAGCCTGGGAAAACCTGTTGAAAAACATAAAAACTCTGATCTCATAAATAGACTTAGTTATGCGTCTGTTGATTGATGTCAGTTTAGAGTTGGGTTGGGTAACCTCTTCTTCTAAGAAGCCTTGGATTCTGGTTGCCATCACCGACAGCATAGTGAGGAATTACGAGCCTTGTAAGTTCAGCTGCATTTATCTATTTTGATTGATTGATTAATTGATTGATTGATTGATTGATCATACCGCCCACCTCACAAAAGAGTGGCTCTTTGAGGGCATTTGAAGGACCACATCTCATTTTAGGAGATCCTTATTTTGTTTTTGTTTTTTTATTGGTGAGCGCTATTCTAACCCTCTTTCCATCCTGTTGCCCTGGAGCCTGAAAGCCTGCTAAAACTCACATCCTTCTGCCTGTGGTTGTGCCATTTTCATTTCATTTATGGTCCTAGACCAAAATACAGAAATAAAAACACAAGTGTGGGGGGAGAATGTTTTGTTGTTGTTATTGTTTAAAAGCTGATTGAAACTAAAGGAAAAGATGGGAAGCCTTTAGGAATTTTTATCCCGGGCCAGAATATTTCTCTCGGTCAGAAGTTGGCTTCTGATCTTAAAGGCAGCAAAGCAGAAATTTATTTATTGATTTATTTATAAATCAAATTTATATGTCGCCCATCTCGCTGTATAAGTGATTCTAGGCGGCTCACAAATAAAAAATGATAAAAAAACCCAGTTTGGCCACTGCTAGAGATGTAAAGGTTGTAGTGATCCGCCAGTAGTAGTTGAAAATAAAAAAACTCCATATGTCCTGGGAAGTCCACTAAAAAAGGTACCTGTTCCTAATATCTCTGTAGAAGAGGCAGAATAAATAAAGCATGGCTTAGGGATTCCACTGCATTCGATCCTCATGGGTGCCGCGCTTTTGCATTTTGGTCCGTCCCTGGAACCAGCTCGACCCCAGAAATAAGACTCCCCGTAAAGGCCCTGAGAAATGCAAAGGAGCCCCAGCTTGGTAGAATTAAAAACAAACAAACAAAAAAGGAGCAAAACCCAGAAAATGGCAGAATTTTATTCCCCCTCCCCCTGCCAAAGTTTAACACTAAGTATATTTAGGCCTCCAGGCTTTAGAAAGGAAAATGGGAGTGTTGTTTTCGAATAGCAGCAAGAGGTTCGTAGTCTACTACGGCCGAACACGGTTGGGGCCAATTCAGCAAGGGCAGACGGGGTCTGTGGACAGCCGAGTCCTTCCAGGGCCATCTTCTCCAGATCTCCTCTCTTTCTGGTTGCAGCTGTTGGATGAAATGGCAACCTTGGTGTTCTTCGTCCTCACTGGCTATAAGTTCCGGCCGGCCTGCGACAACCCTTATCTGCAACTTTCTCAGGAAGACGACAGCTTCGACGTGGAATCTGTGTAAGGGCTCTTTTGAATTGTGTTCTTGGGTTGGGTGGATGGAGCAAGGCGCATGGGCCTGGGAGTTCTTACCTGGGCAGGTGGGGTCAATCCATACCATGTCAAGGGCCTGGTAGTAACCTGGTAGGCTGGGTTCCCGGTAGCCTGAGTTATTTCCAGCTGTCCCTTTCCCTGGTCCCAGGTCAAGGATCTCAGCCTTGTAGAATCTCTGGATCTTGTCAAAACCTATTGGTTGGGTTGGTCCAACACCTGAGACTAGGCTGAATTGGGTAGTCTATCTTGTAGTATGGAAACTGCTATGGAAAACTCAGCCATCTGCTGAGCAGGCCGTGCTTGGGAACCTGAATAATACGGTTTACTAGTTTGGACGTGGCTTATACGCTTTTGTTAACCTGGGTTTGGTCTGTTATGTGAACCTAACCTCAATGATTAGAAGCAACTACCTAGAAGTTATCAGAGAAAACACGGGGTGGACATTGAAAAACCTGATTCAAAACAATCTGTGATCTTGACTCCAACAGCATGGAATGAAAGTCAGCGGGATAAATGGGCTGGCACATCTTTTGCAGACTTCTGCTGTAAATAAATGGGATGGGGTTGCACAATATTCTGCCCACAGAAGCCTCCATAGCCAGAATTATGGTCAGGGTCTTGGGCATCTGTTGAAAACTGGAAGTGATTCTTTTCCAAGTGTGATTCTCACAGAATTCTCTTTAGCAAGATTTATTAAGTAAAAAAAGATGGGGTTTCAAGAATTCCGGCAACAGAACTGTTTCCCATCTACAATCAGTATCTCCTGAAGTACATTGGGGGGAATATTAATATTAAATATTATTAAATATTAAAAGCCGCCCAGAGTCACCCTCTGGGGAAGATGGGCGACATATAAATTTAATAATAAATAAAAATAAATAAAATAGTATTTATTACAATTTTCTTTTTTGCCCTGTGATCTAATCTTTTTTTCACTGATAATGAGGACCTTTCAAGGTAGCTGTTTATAAAGATTTCCTTTAATGTTTCCGATGTTATAATGTTTGTGTCGTTTTGTAAATCCCAGTATTAACTGATATCAAGAACAGGCTTGTATTTTTTTTCCCCTTCTGTTTAGAATCTTTAATCCCCTCTAAGTGTCCAGTTTCTAAAATCATAAAATAACTTATCTTTGTTATGACTTGCAATAGCCAGGACAGCCAAAATAAGTCTGTTTCCCATGAGAAGCTATTTATTTTTTATAGTTAATTCCAAAAACTTATAGTAAAAGTCAATATTCCAAATTTATCTGGACCCTTAATCCATTTATAACTTTCAGAGATCAAAAACTTATTTAGCTTTTTGCTGTTTATTTCAAATCCTTTAAGTTCTTAAGGTTATAATTCATTTTTCTTTGGTTCAGGGTTGAAGATAAAACTCCCCCAATGACTTTTCAAACTTGTCATCTCTAATAAATTTGTTTAATAGGCAGTTTCAAAAAGGGATCAGAAAGTGAGGTTTGCGAACTTAGTGTCCTTTAAACAGCTCTGCTGCGGTCACCTCGCAAGCAGCAGCTGTCCGAAGCATGTGTGGGCAATCTCCCGTCTTCTCCTTGTCCAGAGAGGTTCCAAAGAACTGGTTTAGCTTGTCATGCCTCCCCCGGAAGTCCCTTAGGGCCTAGTCCTCATTGAGAACAATGCTTCTCAAGTGGTCCTTTTCCCCAAACCACGAGGGTCACAAGTCTGGCTTTATCAACCAAGGAACGACCCTTTTGCTGAGTTTTAAGCATCATGTCCCAAGATCTGACATCCTTAGCTCCTTCTTGCTCCCTTCCTCATCGGCATTTTAGCTCTGCTGCCGCAGTTCATACCTCGTTGGCCATAAAACATTCGGGTTGGTGCTGGCGATGGCTTTTGAAGGGGAACCACCACGCCGAGTAAATTAATACCAGTGGTGCCAACTGACATAAGAGAGAACTTGTTGGTGAACGTACATTCCTGCTCCCCTTTCTCTGTCATAAGCGATTAAGCCAATTCCAGTCTATCGGCCCCACTCTCCAGTCGCTGTGTAGAAGGGTCGAACGTTGAAGCAGACCCACGTCTTCTGCTGCCAGCATTAATAAGGGGGGTGGAAATTCAAGGCTCCTCCAGTAGTCTCACCACTCCCTAGCAGATCCTTCCTTTTCCCCAGAAGCTGGAAAAAGCGAGCTTCAAAAGGATCCATGTAGTAAGGATGATAATAGTTGTCGGGAGCATATAACGCGGCTGTCTCCATTCATTTACATTTACCATCCATTTAAGGATCGCGGCGGCAATTTTTCCCCCTTTGCACTGTCTTAAAACAGTGCAGGCTTTTGGCAGAAACCCAAATAACTGGTCCTTTGTACGAGGCGGCACGGTCTCCTGTTTAGGGCAGGAAGCCAAGTGAAACCGAGGCATCCCCGAGAGACAGCTGTCCCGCCTTCTCTTGGGGACATCCAAGCCTGACCCCCTCCGGGTCCTTGGACCTACGGTCAGATTGCTCGTGCGGAGAGGACGTTTGCTTCGCAATGTCCATCAGAATCTTTTTCCCTGTAACTCGTCTGTCTGATTCCGTGTCCTGCCCGCTGGGAGAAAAGCTTTGATTTTGTGCGTGATGTTCCTTCCTCTTTCCACGGCGAACGGCTTCAAAAAGATCCCCAGCCCAACCCCCAAAGTCCCATAACAGCCCCGCGGTTCAGCATTACCCTTTGCCCTCCAGTGGTGCCCAAGGATATTTTTTCAAATCATACATCTGTTCCTCACTCTTGCTCCTCTTGTTCTGAAACCCGTTTAATATGTGCTTTGTTAAAGATCCCCAAAGTATCATTCTTCATAAACTTCACTTCATAGGTTAAAGATATTTTTAACCCGGCGGTAGAATTTCTGAACGCTTTTAAATGTTTCAGCATGTACTCTCGTTGGAAGTGATTTCCCTGGATAATTATTCATCCTTTGCCAGTTTCTTGTTTCCCTCTTCCCTTCCCCCCCTCTCCACGTTAAAACATTTTAATCCACCCGTTTCCCATTTTACAGCTTCAGGTAGTTATGCATTTTTGCGGGATGTGTCATCGGTTTGAATAAGCTTATGAGCGAAGGGGGTGGGTGGGGAGATCTATGTTTCATCTCCCCCCCCATTGGTTTTCCTTCTCCAATTTCTCCAAATGCTTTTTCATGTCAAAGCTTGTTCATGCGGCGTGCGGCTCGGTAAAATGGATTGAAGCGGGGAATTGCCACGGTGGAACCCATCGTAATTCGTGTCCCCCCCCAATGCAGATAAAAGGAACCAGCCACATTCCACAGACCTCTCCTTTTGGAGCTGCGCACCAGTGAATTGGGGGTGGGAAAGAGAAGAGCTGCACCCTTTTCTCCAGCACAGAAAGTAACCTTGTGGAAATCTTTTGTTCCTAACTCTCCTCTGCCTGTTAAAAAAAAAAGAGCAAAACAAAACCACCCGATTACTCATCTTAAGTATTCTTTATCTGTTTCCAATGTTCCTGTTTTTGGGTTTTTTTTTTTTTCATCTGCACCAATCTGTAAAGGTGCCTTAGCAGCAGGGAAACAAAGGTAGCAATAAAGCAATAAATCCAGTTACAGCAGTAAAGATTGAGCTGAGCAGGGCATAAATGAACCCTCTTCTCGATGTCTCTCTCCCAGATGTTGGGGTCAGATACAGATGTTAGTCAAGCCATAATGGGGGGGGGGTCTTTGCAAACTCTCTTCAGTGGAGAGGGGAAAGGAACGTTTGTAGGTTGAGATGGTGGCACTCTCGGCAGAGCAGTTGGAAAAACAGCTCCTACTTGGCACGTGCTGGAGGATAAATTCGTCTGAATCCACGAAGGCGCCCTGCCGGTTTAGAGTAGGCAATAGTGAGGGGAATGGATCCCCTCTCTGGTTCCAGCCAAGGCATTACCGTATATTTCTGTACTACTCTTGGTTTTAAATGGCAGTCTTCTATGGATGGGTCTATCAGCCTTTCATGGTGTTCTCCTCACTTGGTCATGTTATTAATTGCAACTAAAAATTCTGTAATAAATGTCTTGGGTTTGGTAGCACAACTCCTAATGGCTTGGTCTCAGCCCTTCAGTCTAAACCTCATTGATTTCTTTTTCTCTTTCCTTCCCCAAGCCACTCCTCTCAAATTATTTTTCTTCCCAACACCACTCCTTCTCCTTCTCCATCATCATCATCCCTTCCCCTTCTCCTCTTTCTCTTTCTCCTTCTCCTTCGACATCATCATCATCCCTTCCCATTCTCCTTCTCCATCATCATCATCATCCTTCCCCCTTCTCCTCCTCCTCCCCCTCCATCATCATCATCCCTTCCCCTTCTCCTCCTCCTCCCCCTCCATCATCATCATCCCTTCCCCTTCTCCTCCTCCTCCCCCTCCCTCATCATCATCCCTTCCCCTTCTCCTCTTGCTCTTTCTCCTTCTCCTTCGACATCATCATCATCCCTTCGCATTCTCCTTCTCCATCATCATCATCATCCTTCCCCCTTCTCCTCCTCCTCCCCCTCCCTCATCATCATCCCTTCCCCTTCTCCTCTTGCTCTTTCTCCTTCTCCTTCGACATCATCATCATCCCTTCGCATTCTCCTTCTCCATCATCATCATCATCCTTCCCCCTTCTCCTCCTCCTCCCCCTCCATCATCATCCCTTCCTCTTCTCCTTCCTTCTTCTCCTTCTCCTTCTCCCTCTCCCTCTCCCTCTCCTCTTCCTTCTCCTTCTCCTTCATCATCATCATCATCATCCCCTCCCCTCCTCCTCCTCCTCCACCACCATCATCAACAACCCTTCTCCTTCTCCAGACACCACCCCTTTCTCCCTCTTCTCTTCCCCGCGTGCAGCCAGAAGGGACAGCTCGCACCTTTTCTCTGCAAAGGTTTGAACCGATTTGTGTGAAGGTGGCTTTCTGTGGCAGTCTGCCCCCTCCCCACCCTGGAAAAACATCTCTCTGTTCCTTTGACCAACCTCCATTGAACACAGGAACCAACTGGGGAGGCCTTTCCCCCAGCTCTGCTCGGCAGCGGGAACAGAAGAATCCCCCTTGTCCCTGAATAAAATAGATCCTTTTCTCCTTCCCAGGGTGACGACCTCAGGCGTCATGGAGGGTATGAAGAAAGTCAAGAAAGTCGTCAATGGCTCAGCGGAGCCCCACGGCGAGAAGGAAAGCGCCGCATGATGGACTGATCTCCTCCCCCCCACCACAACACACTTCTCCTCTCTTCCCTCTCCCTCCCTTACAACAAGGCAGCACTTTCCAATGAACTGTAATTTATTGATCGTTCGCTTCCCTCAATGGCACGGAAGCAGGACGACCTTCCCAGTGTAAAAACTGCAGACGTTGGGCTGGGTGGCGGGGGAAACAGGGATAAAATACAGCCAAGGAAGGAGAATCAAAACTCTATTCGTTCCTCTATCTTAAGGATTGGGGTTTTCTTCTGGTGCCCAGGAGAAAGGTTTAAAGGACAGATGACAGTGGTGGCTTTTTTTAAAAAAAGAAAAGTCTTTTTATCCCCCCCACCCCTCTTTTTTTTTCTTCTTCTTCTTTCTTTTGGGTTGTCATGATTCAGAACATGATTTCGAAAAGACTGTGCTCTGTTGGGTTTCTCGAGAGAGAGGCTTTCAGAGGGGAAAAATGGGAGAGATGTGTGCATGCAAGTCTAGCAATATAGGTTGCTTTCTGAAATGCAAAAAATGGTGTCTTAACTGTGCTCGAAAGACGAATGATGCCGTAGGAAAGCTTGGGGCCTTTGTGAGTCCTTCGGGGGCTGGCTTGGATACATCCCGCTGGGTTCAATTGCTTTCCCCTTTTTGCTTCTTTCAACTTCCATTTGAACGGAGGGCGAGTGAGGAATTTTGCCTCTAGGACAGCCAAAATGGAAGCTGTGTTTTTAAGACCGTAGAGCTGTCAGATCAGCAAAGGATGTCACGGTTCTCTCCTTCCGTCAGTTTCCACGGCATGGGTGAACGTGTTCGCTCAATACAGTTGTCTGGAATGTATGCAACAGCACGAAAGTCGAAGTAGTAAATTATTTTGCTTCCATTCCTCTTTGTGGTAAAGCGGGGAAGGGTTTGTAATTCATGGGGGGAAGAGGGAATGAAGTGGCGTCATTGATCCTATAGAACTCCCCTTAAAGAAGACTGCATAATTGATCTCTGGAATTCCTCTCTTTACAGTCCGTAAAGCTGTAACATTTCTTGGCGGGGCAGGGTTCTCCATGCTCAGCACGCGCTCCTGGAAAAAAGAGGCGCCTGCCACTGACTTCAGTTGACAAAATAAGAGCCTACTCTTCGGTAGCACAGCCAGTCAAGACAACAACTGAAGCGAGTGCAACCTGAAACGTGTGTGGGTTGGTCCACAGAAGTGCGGTTGACCACATCTTGGGAAAAATGGGTTGTTTGCTCACTCTTCGTATTGCCTCCTCCCTTCCCTGGCAACGCCATGTATCCTTACCGTTGATAAAGGCTGTGTTCGCACAACACACTAAGCCATTAGTCATGGTTTAAAAGCCATCATGGTTAAGCCCAAACCAACAAACTGGATTCTTTCTTAGTTTGCCATGTGAACCTGGCCATCACTGTGTGCCATAATGTGGCTTCTTTGTCGTTGGCTTAACGTGGGCTTGATCTCTTGGATTTAACTTGTTGCATAGACACCTAACATGGAGCATTTCAGAAGATATCTGGCAGTGTCTTCTGTTAAATCAAGCAGAGCTACTAAAGATTGCAAAATCTGAAGGCGTGTCATCTTTTTGTGGGGCAGTTCGGTTCTTAGGGTTGACAGCTCCAGCAGCCAACTGTTGAGATTTTGGATGGCTCGTTCTCCAAATCTAGAGCCTAGATATTTGGGGCCACAACCATTTGGAGGGCACAGCAAATTGGGAGAAGTGGCCACAAGCTTGGAGAGGCATTTCAGCTAGAGAAGATGAGCGTTGTTTTGATTCTTTTTGCGGTAGTCGCCAAAGAAATGAAATCCACGGAGTCAGGCTGAGCCTGGAAGCAGAGTGGTTTTATGGCTTTTGGGAAGAGACCTGGGTTTGTAATCATTGGATCCTTTCTAATCCCAGCAGTTGAGTGAGGCAACGCTGAACATGTATCTAGGATGCCTTGGGGAAGGATATTATTTAAGCTTTATTGCTAACCCTTCTTGTTAAGCTCTATTTCTAACCCTTCTTGTTAAGCTCTATTGCTAACCCTTCTCCTTGTTAAGCTCTATTGCTAACCCTTCTTGTTAAGCTCTATTGCTAACCCTTCTCCTTGTTAAGCTCTATTGCTAACCCTTCTCCTTGATCTCATTTCTCTCTTGGGCTGTTGCTGAAATTGGCATCGGGTACATGCAGTCTAGACTGATGAACTACTCATACGATCCCAATGATACAGTGGGGGTGGCGGGGGGGAGGAATTAGTTACAGGTGGCAGCCTTCTCTTGTGTGGAGCCGTAAATCTGCAAGATACACTCCACGGTTCAGCTGGCTCTCATGGCATCTCCTGAGACATGTCTAGCATGCGTAGGTTTTCTGACCCGCTGTTAGTTCATCTTTGGCATCATTGTTCTATAAGCTGCCTGGCTGCAAAAGCGAAAGGAAACCCTGCGCTGGCCTGTGTTTGAACTGGAGCTTTGTGGCATTGCATTTGTGGCGTGGCTGTCCCTTCCACTGGCTGAGCCCCAGATTTGAGCTTTGTTTTGTCCGAGGCTTACCGAAGTGGGGTTCAGAGACCCTGTTAAGCTGTAACAGTCCAACCGGTGAGAAGACTTGCGGGATTCCCTTGCAGGCAGAGCCCCCTTGAGAACGTTGAGCTACTGGGTCACCTGTGAATGGATTTCCACCCTTCCTTCCATTGGACCTCTGGGAATCCTAATGGCAGCCGTTCTCCAGCCATTGCACATTACACTCCCTCCCTCCCTCCCTCCCTCCCTCCCTCTCTTTTGCCATCGAAAAGTTGCCTTGAGATCTGCCTGCTCCCTGTTGGCCCGTCTATTCCCCAGCATCATGAGGCATCTTGGGGAAGCGTGTCAGCAAAAGGAGTTTGGTGCATTGCAGCATTTTCACCATGCAACCTGGTTAGGAAAGG